GGGGGCGGGGAGGGGCGGGCGGGGCGGGGAGGGATGCGACGGGCAGGGGGCGTGGCAGGGGGGAGGCCTCCAAAGGCTCGCAGCGACGGGCACAGTGGCGAGGAGGACGGCCGTGCGGCGGCTGAGTGCTCGTGGATGCGCGCTCAAACGTAGCTGCGCAACAACCCGCGGCCCACCGGCAATATTCTGCAGCCCGCGGATGTCATGTAAACATTTTTAGGCTGCTATGAAAAGCGGATACATTCAGAGTTGAACAGCGGGCTAAAATTTCAATTTTAGCAATAGTGCTAAACGTGTGACGACGCAGAAAATGTTCACTTCAATGTTTTTTCATCACACGGCAAAAAAGACTATTGGTAACGTCATTAAGCCAGCGTGCCTCAGGCATCTTATTTGGGACGCCTTGGTTGCGGATTAGTCCTCGCCACAGGAAGTAGGGTTTTTCCGTAAGGGAAGACACGCGAACGGGAGACACAGAGCTTTGGTGTTTCCGCTTATAGAAGCTTTCACTGTTATAAAGAGAGGGGGTGGCGTGAACGTATGGAGGTACGTGGCATCCTATATAAAGAAGTGGTAGGAGCCAGTAGGCAGGTTCTGGAGACGGATGGGAGACCTCGTGCGTGTGCACAAAACTTGGCGCCTAGACGGTGGCATAATGCGAGCCAGGCTCGGCGAGGCTGGAGTCACTTAGTTGACGAAGCCTGCGGACTTTTAGTCCTTGGGTGACGGCGGTCACGGGGGAGCGATGCGTGTGCCGGGGGGGGGTCCGCCCCGCCCCGCTCGACATCATTAGAGTGGGCCTCCGCAAGGGACGCCTCGAAATCTCACACCGCCCCTCGCCCTCGCTTCGCCCTCGTTCTGCATGCGGCGCCCCTCTCCTTCCACTGCTGGCATTTCACCCTTCTCACTGTCCCCTGCTCTCTGCGGTTCTCTCTGATCACTGTTTCGTCTGTTCTTGCTTGGCGGTCACTCTGTCCTGACACTCCCTACCTCACCTTTCCTCAATTCTGACGTTCCCATTTTCACATTCTGACTCTCATTCTCCGCATTTCCTTGTTTGTCTTTGCCCCCACTGTCCCTGTACCCTTACCCTCATTGTCGCTTACTTCACTCACTTCTAATTCGTATTGTATTTGCTACCGAAACCCTAAATAGCGCTATGAATGTCGCTACACCCTTGTCATGCCACCTTTGCTCTACCGCCTTCGTCAATCCCTCATCCTACTCCTCTTCAAATTATTAAACTTTCCCCCATCTCCGAAGGACGCTTTCCCTTCATATAGCCTTATGTGCCCTTCCAAATCTCTCTTCCACTCATGTCAATTTCTTCCTGATCACTCATTCGCATCCATGATCTCTGTAAAGGCAGTGATATTTTCTGTATACAATACTCAAAGGAAAGATGAGTACTTTCTGCCATTTATAAAAACAATTGAAACAAAACCACCGTAAGGAATTTGAGAGAGTGTGCACGACACAAGACAAAACTAATGTGATTATTGTGTCGACAACTAAAGATCAGGAGTAGGAAGGGTGAGTCAAATAAGTGATACGCAATTAAGATATTTACTTATAACTGAAATTCACACAACTACAAAAATTCCTTAAAACTAGAGCACGTGTTTTTATAAATATCTTATTCTAAATAATTATACAATTATTTCAATTCAATTTAGTGACTCTGTTTCTGGTTTTAGAAGGTTTAATAGCCACTCTCAAAGTGACTACCTGTGTTCGAAATGCTGTAGGTCGTATTATGTGATTTAATTGAGGAGTTATAATGTATTATTGTGGACAATTCAATGCAATACCTTTGAGTAGTTGACGTCTTTTTATCATGTTACTTGTTCGATTAGTGATACCTGGCAGAAACGTTTCAAGTTATCGCGCCATTCCAACGAGATAAATTATGTAATAAATAGAAAACACTTGTCCAGTATAAACGTGGCACCTCGAATAATAAATTACTGCACAACTGAATTGGAATGAAGTGGATGACACAGGAAGATTGAATTGATATTGATGCATGTACTGACACCGGATGTACATAGATTGAAGGAAATATATTTTAAACCGTTGAACTTGCACGATACTTCGTTAAAAGTTTGTGCACCGGGACGACACGTGGAGCTTCTCGAAGAAGACAATTAGATAAATTGGCTAGAACAAGACGGAGCGACTGCTATAGCTGGGGCGCCGGACGGTCAACTGTGGAAAGAGACAAGCTACCTTGCGGATACGAAACAACTCCCCTCCGGCGGGTAGCGGCTGTGTTCAGGAAAGCAACGTCATAGATCGGGCTGACAGAAACAATCGATGATAGGGTAATTGATGAAATTACTTTCTCTTTACAAAAGACAGTGGTTTACACGGTGCAGAATGTTTCCACGGAACACTCAAGAGCCACGGACCAAAGGCAGTCTATACATTTTTCCCTCCGTTCTTTCCTCGTCCCTTACTCACTGCACTGCACTAACACACTCGTGGAGAGGCCAGTCGAGAGCTTGGAGCGTGTCCCCGCTGCGAGAAGTCCCTCTCAAGCCAACGCAACGCGGAGGTCGGCGTCGGATCTCATCATCCAATGGCAGAGGAACACCGCCGCCGCCAGGGATAAACCGAGGACTGCACTCCCGAGGCTAATGACCACAGCAGTCGGCGCGGCCGGAAGCGCCCCCGCGAGGCGCCGTCTCAGGACGCGGACTGCACAGTGTGAGCGCAGCTCAGCCCTCAGGGGCAGGGAGCCCGCCTCTTTGTGGCTGCTTCGCCCCTGAGCATCACTCCACGTTCAAATGAGCTACGTGAGAAGTTGAAAAACGACGAGTGTAATAATTGTGGGAAGGGAAACAGGGGGAGAACAAAGACAACGTGAAATGTAGCTAAGCCAAGATGAGTGATTATTACGAACAATAGCGTCGGAAACAGAAGGAAAACAAAGGAATTATGACTAAAGAAGATATAAGTGTATTTTTCAAAATATCAGAATAATTTGTCAATCCTATTAAAATGCATCGTAAAATATTTAAAAATGTGAATCAACATTCCGTCCGATTAAATATATTAAGATATTTAAAAAAATAATATTGTACAAAAAATCTCAAGTAATCCTATAAAAGAACATTACAACAACAATAATGTGAATGAATTAATGAATGAACTTATTTGACACGGCACTTATTTGTAGATAAAAGAGTTGGATTCGCTTAATAATATACAATAAAAAACGGAATACATTACAAGTTACATTACAATAGTATGCTACATACTAAGCCCTTTCCTGTATTTCTCAACCATACTGATCCTTTCACTTTTCTCCTCTAACATTCACCTCTCTTGATCCTGAACATTCCACCTTTACCGCATTCTTCTTACCTCAAAAACTGACATCTATCTTAATCCCTAATTCCCTATCTTCCTCTTCCATCTCCCAGATTTTACACCTTTTCTTCACTATTCTGCCAATAACTACTCGTCGAATAATTTCCTTATCTGTATCTTGCTATCCTTCATCTGTCCCTTTTCGTACGCTTCCCTTTTAAGGAACTTGCAATATCATCCAACTGAATAGTTTTATACCGCTTGTTGTATGTTGAATTTTGTATATTTTCGTAACCTTCCTGCAGTAACTGTTTTTCACCCCTTTGAATCAATTCTTCGGTTAATCAGTCCCTTCTCTTTTTGACATTGTCACCCTCTCCAACGAATAACGTTTATTATTTGAAATCTTTCCCTTTCCCCATCATATTTCTCAACCTCTATCTTCTTCTCCATTTCCCACCAAACTTGAATAACTACTGTCTACTCCCTCTCTTAATACTTTCCTCAAACTTGCGTGCTATTTTGTCCTTCTGTTTTTTGTTCTCATGTTTTGCCTCTTTGTCTCCCATCATATCATGTACTAACTGAGTATGCAAGTCTGTTCCTAGAACCCATCTTAAAAATCCTTCATGTATTCTTTCCAGTTTCCTCCTTTCCTTACAATCCGCACATTTCTGCCCCCCCCCCCAACAATACTTTCATATACCCTCTCACCATTTTCACAAAAGCACTATATATTAATTATATCCCGCACTTGTTTCATAATCACCATCCCCTTCTCACCCATTCCTGATACGTGCATTCCGTAGCCCCTTCCCTCCTTAAGCCAAAACCCTAAATACATTTTTTCCATACAATTTTCTCAAATTTACTCTTACTTCTAACTCTTTGTTAACTCCATCACTTTGGTATTAACCGTATTTAATGCGAGTTCTCTATTCTTTAAAAAATGTCTCCTCAACATCTAAATCAAGTCCTCATTGTCAGTCAATAATATCACATCATCTGCATAAGATAAAGTTCCAATTTTTATTTTATCAATCAATAACTGTCCATCCTGGCCATTAATAACAATACTGTATATTTTATTGGTGATAGAACAATACATATTATCAGTATATATCGAGTAAAATGAACTCGATTGTATAATTAAAAATAATTGAAAAGGGGAACATTTTACTTATTTATATGGCTTGCTTTAAATCTGATTTAAGAGTTTACAAATTGCTCCAAAAGTGTGTTTCTCGGCACGATTGGAGTTTTGTATGTTGTCAAAATTATATGTAGATAAGTTCTTTGCAGAGAAGACGAGGGAGAACAAAGATCATGCTTAGATATTACTTCACATCAGGTATAATAATGCAATAACAAAACACAAAGAATATCCTACAGTATTACTATTTAATAATAGCAATAATAGTAATAATAATATTAACAACAATATTAATAATAATAATAATAAAAATAAAAATATATTACAGAATACGAAGTGTATTCTCGTTTACCTTGCCTTCCTGAATTATAATTGATGCTAACTAATCTTTACAAGATGGGAATATAACTTCAATACGATGGCACTTCCCTTGTGATATCTACCTGTGACTGATCCTATCGACGATGCAATTTTCCAACGCCAGAGCCCCTCTCTCTATAGCACACATCGTGGGGCCGCTGAGCGTGTTCTAACCGCCTCACCGCTAGGAGCAAATTGCGGCCTCCGCGTGCGACGGGGCGAGAGACGAAAGGGCCGTCGGTCGGCGGCGCCGCGCGGGGGGGGGTGCGCTCCCGCGGGCCTCATAGAGGGGTGGGGGCGTGCGTCGCCGCCTCATTGTCTGCGTCGCTGCCCGATAAGGCAGCCGCCAGCGCACCTACGAGTCGCTCGGGACCCTCGCCGCTGCCCACAAAGCGCCAGCGCCATGGATTAGATGGCGCTCGTTGATGAGGCATCTCTTAGCACATCTCTTAGGAAAAGGTGCTGTATTGGTCTTTATACTTTTCCGTATACACATATATACGAAGTAATATAAGTAATGTATGGGGAAAATATGTAATGCTGCGGAAACTCGACTTCAAGATTTCAACGAAAATACACGATATGGGGTCCCTTGATACCGAAAAAGTGTTGTTTAAAAAAAAGTAACATCCGTTCGTCCGTGTGTCAACACCTCTAGGGTCTAAATTATTCGTAGGATTCTTTCCAAAATGGATATTCCCTGATCGATATTGCTCGACTCGTGGCGCTACGATATTAAAAACCCTTTTTTAAAAGACATTTTAAAAATTTTCTTAAAAACAGCTCAAAATTTATTCTTTAAATTTCTGGTAAGAATACAGTAACTTATACTTACAGAGATAGTGAAGGTCTTATTTCCAAGATTAAATGAGAATTTATGAAAATTTCTAAATACTGAAATTTTTTGGGTGCCTTTCTACAGATACAAAATTGAAGATAGAGGTTTATTTCGAGTAAAATTTGTTCTCTATAGTGAGTTCTTTTATTACGGTCATGTACATTGTTATTCAAAATCTTAGCAGTTTTCACGCAATATTGCGTGCAATATATGCAATTTAAAAAAATAACAAAAATAATATTTTTTCAAAAACTGCTTCAAAGTTTTCTTTAATCTTTTGGTATGAACAGTGCTCAGTGTACTCTACGAGATAACATAAATATGAGTTTGCTCTATTGTTTTGTATTATCAAAAATAACGAAGATATAACTTTTTTATTTGTCTCTCACATCGTGAATATTTACATTAGCGGCTATTTGTTCATAATTATTGTATTTATTGAACTTTAAATTTTGTCATATAAAGTTTCTTGAAATCTCGACCTTTTCTGTGAAAACTGGCTCCAAATTCTGCATTTTCCGAAACGCTCAAACGCTATTATCTCAAAGACTGCTCCAAATTTTATCTTCAAACTTTTCGAAAGGATAGTACTAATTGTACTCTTTAATTTGACATAAAGTTGATTTTGGGGTATTTTTTGTTGTTTTTTAAATTACAAAAATGTAATTTGTTTGATAATGTCTCTCATGCCATTAATATACACATTTCCAGCAATTGGTAAACACTGTTGTATTTGTGAGTTAAAGTGTTTTAAATGACTACTAATGAAGTTTTTCGTAAACTCAATATTCTTTGTTAAAAGAGCTTGAAGTTTCGCATATACAGTAGTGTTAAAACGCCATTTTCTTAAAAACTGGTCCAAATTCTTCAAAGAAAAAGTCCACTGAGGATGAATTTTTTGTTCTTTTATATTCTTAATATAAGATTTTCGTTCTACCGGAAAACCGAAAAATTGAGAAATTTTCAAAAAAATATACTTTGGGCGGCGATAGATGGCAGCTGGCAAGAGTATGTGGCAAGTCCAAATAGCTAGCCGGGTCGAAAGGAAATAGAAAACTAACATGGGAAAGTCTTTGTCATTCTGTACCACCACTAG